GCGGCGGCTGTTGATAATAGCGAGAACACCCCGCGCTGGTTGCTTCGATTAAGGAAAATGATTATGAATAGGAATCAGACGCTTTTCAGTTGAACGAAGGTGTAACGAGCTTCGTTCAGCTGAGAAGCATAGCGCTTCGGTTGGAAAGGCTGCCTGGGGCAGCCAGGGCCCATTATGGGCTCAATTTTAGTTGGGTTTTAAGGTATGGCGAGATTAACGCACTTGATCGATAAGTTGCACTAACTGATAAGCGGACGCAGCGCAATAGCGACTAAAGCGATTTAGATGTTCCTGCATGGGAAATAGTTGCTCTAGATAGCAGAGAACACCTTGAACAACACACCTTGGTTACGTCTAATACGAGTGTGTTTGCAAAATGAGATCGTAGACCTCAAGCACTAGGAACGTCAACAACAGAACACGGAAATAAGCTTGTGAAAGTACCAGAATTCTGAGGAACAGTGCTGATCGTACCTCTACCATTCGGAGGCGACCGTTGATAGATGTCAGAAAATAATAGAAAAAGTTGGCAACACTGAGTAAAACAGGCTGAATTAAATGATCACAGATGACTTAACTTCGTTCTACTGAACAGAAGAGCGCTGATAAACTTGAAAAGGCTGCGTGGTGCAGCTAGGGCTCAGTTCCTGCGCCCTATTTTATTACCGCGGGCTACCAAAACCAAGAACGGTCGACCCAGTGCAGGGTATGATCGACAGCAGGGTTGTATCAGTTTCGTTCTAGTACGGTATCTTATTACTTCTATAGGAAACTATGCTTTTTCGCAACAATTCTCGCCTTGTTTTTTTTTTTTTTTTGCAAAAGACGGTAACGGGACTCGGATCAGCGCTTCTTGGTTTCGCAGCCGCAGATTGCGCTGTTTAAGCTAAGCTGCAGTTAACTTTGGTCCAAACAATCAAGCGTCATTTCCCTGAAAATATATAAAATCAGATCAGGTCATGTTTTTCTGTTCGTTTCATGTTCGCGCCTTTAAGCGAAAGATCGTATCTGTATTCAAACGGAGACCCGCTCTGCAGATTTCAAAGCTGAACATAGACGTAATAATCAATTGTTCTAAATAGCCCTTACTCCTGAGGAATTATTCCTAAGATAATGTCCGCCTTGCTGGATTCTGTGGGAAGTGCATTAGCGATAATTACGTTTAGGGTACCGCTACGCCTTTCTGCCTTATTCAAAATCTCAAGAATATAGATAATTTAGAACATCTGGTTATTGCAGCTATCTCTAGAATAAAAGTCTGTACATTATGCAGCTAATTTCCTTCCAGAAATAAAACAAATACAGATGTTTCCATACCAACTAACTGTCCCTGTCAGCCATTGATTAGGAAGTATACAGCCTTATAAGACGCCAATATAAGTTGTTCTTATCAGGGCCACTGCTTGCAGCCGGTCTATTTTCCTAGGTCTCTGAGGACGTCAACAGCCTGCTCCCAATGACGGAGAATTGCCTTTGCAGGCACACAGTATATTGCTCTCGTTCACCTTGATCCAAGCCTTTACAGGAAGGGCCTCGTAGAATCTGATGAAATATGAGATCCACCTCAACACCTTTATAGCGGATAGGGTCCTGCCTACTCACTTCTTCAGAACCACGGTGTTCTGTCAGTCTTTATTGGTTCTAAGAGATCGAGCGAACTGTACAGTGCTGCTCTCGACGCTAGCATGAGCAATACCAGCAATCTGTACCTATCCCATTGAAAGGGCGAGGCTTTTCAGGCTAAAGATAAATGTGGGGGAGGAACAAGTCTTTTGACAGGAGAGCTCCGAACTTCGATTTCGGTGCTCACCAAACACACGCAGACACATCTGCGCCCCCATAGTTATCTAGACTGAAAACGGAGCAGAGCAGTGTATGTGTGCATGTGTGCTGACGTTCAGCAGAACAAGGTCTAAAAGAGTCCGAGCTACGGTAAACGCTATGACAAATGTCGGCGCTACGGCCGCGACCACGATGATAATCATTCAGACAGCCAACAACAACTGAAACAGCAGCAAGACGCACCTATCAGCAGATTTATAACAATGCGAGCCGAATAACAGAACTTCTTTGCGATCAATTGATCCCTCGTACTTGATCGCTGTTCTATCATCGCGCTGTCCTTCGCCTGATGCTCCTTCCTGCTTCCTTCACGAAAGGCTCTTTATATGTGGCTCTCCCTCAGCTCTGCTCACTCTCGTTTGTCCTGTCTGCTTCTAGCTTGGGTACTGCGCACTTCGTCAAGCCAACGAGGACATCACCGGTATCGCTATCGGTACAGCTATCAACGGCGAGCGAGGGCCGCAGCGGACTAGCGGCCACTGGTGTGATTCTGTGCGATTAGCTTCTCGCTTCTCGACATAACTCGGCAGTGGTCCATTTGCTCGTTGCCGGTGACAGCCTTCAGCGCGCTGCTTGTTGTTTAGATGGCTGTTGACGCTCTAATAGCCGACGAGGCCGGCTTTGGCTGAGCAAGGCGCAAGGGAAACTGAGGGAGTTACAAACTGACTCAAAAAAGATGGGGAATTAGAGATATTCAATGGGTATGCATCGAGTAAAGGGTAGTCAAGGCGCACCGCAGGTTTCTAGACATTTTGCACAGGGTTGCTAGGTGGCGTTAAAACCGTTTAAGACTCGCGGCTTTCTAGGATCAGATAGGGGGAAATATTGGGAGAGCATTTCCAATATTGCGTCATGTACGTAGCGACGTATTCAGAGAAATGCGTATGCGTGTGCGTGCGTGCGTGTGCGCGTGTGTATGTAGTGGAACGAATAGTTTGTTAGGAACCACAAAATTTACATGAGGTCGCTATGTCTCTAGGGGATAATAAGGAGGAAGTGTTGGGGTTGTCGCTGGAAGAAGGGGGTGCGGGTTGGCATCGGTGTGCTTGTAGGATGTTCGGAGAGTAATAAAAAGAGGTTGTGGTTACTCGCTTGGGATATAGGTAGCGGAAAAAATTAGAGTAGGTAGCATGTGCTCATTTTGACTTTGAGAAACGAAAATCGAAAGGGCATTTCGTTCTATTTTGAGAAAAAACTCCAGTTAGGTGTGCTCTATTAAGTTTTCTAGTGTAATCTGCATCATGTCGTCGAGAAAATATTGAATGAGGCAAATCTGTAAACAACGACAGGTGTTTGGGAACATTCAAGAGAAACAATACAGCGAACATATTTCAACAGCGGATCTTCGGGTGTTCCGTTTCTATCAGTACCTAAAAAACCTCGAATATTTTAGAGCGCGGATCTTTTGAAGATGTACTTCTGAATGTTGCAGATGTTCAAGAGTATGTGCCAGCAGAAATCGTACTTGCATTGTTCTAAACAAACTTCTATAAGCTACAACAAAACTGCGGTATAATCGATCAGCTGCGTAAGACTGATCTAACTCAGATCTTTTATTTACAATATGTCAAATGATCACTTGATAAAATTCTCTAACAATCATAAATCAATCTTAAACGTAGTTCAAAACTGTAAACGATCAGAGTAAATATAATGTAACAACTTCGCTTATATATAAAGATCTGGGTCTAACAGCTTCTCAGACATAATGATAGAATTAATTTCTTCATTTTGAATAATCGAGTTATACAAGATAAATACATTTACCACTCGCAAGATGCTTAGAACATTAGACCCTAAAGCAAATTTACCTTAAAACTCATAATCAAATCAACGGCGTTTGCGAGTTCGCTCAACTTTACTATTAACACTCTTTCTTTGTTTGATCTGCCACGTTATTATCTGTAAAAGGCCAATGCTTTCTTCGCCATTGAAGATGTTATCAGAGTTATACGGCTGGCTAATTATTCACTGTACATTAAGACAAATAGTGCCAATCCTTACCACCTAATATGAAATAGCAATAAAACAGGTTCAAAAGGCACGACCAATAATATATCGATCTCGATGTCTAGGGACTACTCGCTGCTGACACAAGCTTAGGGTAGTCTTACCTATACGCCCTCTGGCGTAGCAAGAGCAGTCGGTAAAAGGACCTACTGCCGTCAACATCGTAATATGTTCTGAAAACTTTATGGGGAAACTAACCAGAGTTTGGCTTGCCTTTTAACGTCAAATTATACTACATATTTGTACAATGTAGTTCAAAAGAACAAAGGGTAAGGGATGCACATGGGGCTTTTTGACGGATGGCAACCCTTACTCAGGGTACCACCGAAGGATTTCAAGGTTTTCTTCAAATCAGTGAAAAATCTTCTAAAATTGTCCGTCGTGAATATTTTGCATACGCTTTTTCTGTTGGTTTTGAAATCTACGTTATTATCAAGAGAAACTAAAATTAAGGAGATGATGTGCAGAAGTTTTCCTTCGAAAACGCTAACTTTAGGTAAGGCTCCAACAATGTGTGGTTCGATAGCCTATTTATTATTTAGACGGAAGGCACACAATTTTTGAACAACGTCAAACAAGTATTAGTTTATTTGAGGCACTTTTGATATTACTCTACTGCTACATCAACTAATAGGTATATATTATGTACAAATAATTGTAAATCACTGGGGATCCATTAATGGCAGTGCAGGGTATCTGAAGGAATGTCGAGCACGGAGATCAGTTCAAAGTAGAGCCAATTGGCGACACAGGTAGTCATCGCCAAATACGTGTCTACTGTGGAAATGATTTTAGACAATGAGTACGCACTATGAGTATGTTTCACGTGTTTCCTCGCCAACTGCGTTACCATTGTACAGAAAAGTCTGACGAATAGACACATACTTATTTTAAGGCTTTAAATGATAGTCTACTCGAAAGCAACGAACTATCACATAGCCCTAAAAAAATAGCTACATTTTTCTGTTTGCCCTTTTTGTTAACAATACAACACGGTTCAAACGACGGGAAAACAGATTCCGCAACGAAGTTGATCACGGGAATTCCATACACTCGCTCGTATTCTGTTCATATACATACAGATGCGTGTGTGTATGTAAACAGTAAATATCAATAGAGGTAACTAGAGAAAGAACAAAGCACTGGCATTAACAGGAGTAGATCTGATCGTACGAGGGTGAACTTAGCCGGGAACACTCAATATAGTCCTGGCTCGACGACGAGGGTGAGATTAGAGAATAGGTCGACGCTTCGAGAGGACTCGACCTTGCTTCGAACGGCTGACCACAACAAGTAAGCGTTGGAGGTGAAAGACAATGAGGTAATAAATCGTTTGACGAAGGAAGTACGGTGGCACATGTTGTTGTTGCTGTCGAAGTCGACGTTGTCGTGGTCATTTGCTCCTCAATTTCCTTGCGAATGGTGGCTTTCAATGTAGCGTCACAGGTTTTCGTTTGGGAGCCCTGTAGCGCTAAAGCTGCTAACGCTGGATTGAAACGATCCACATGTCCGTCAAGCATCTTCAGTGTCTCGCTTAGTGCGTAGATATAATTGTGAGCAAAGCGAAGCGTCTCAATTTTAGTGAGTTTACCATCATCGTTCGATGCTGGTAACACAGTTCGGAGGCGATCAAGAGCATCATTGAGATTGTGCATTCGATTTCGTTCGCGGTCGTTGGCACGAAGGCGACGGGTGCGCTTGACGCCCCGTGACGATGGCGCTGAAGAAGGGTCGGGCAGCGGAGTCAGGTGGTCAGTAACCCGCCGCTTACGGGTACAGTCTAAGCTCGAGTCTGAGTCAGATGAGAGTTCAACTGAAGTATCGAACAGCATCTGGAAAAAGGAAAATTACAAATACATTGAGTTAGGTGATGGACGAAGACAATGACGACAGAGTAAACGAGTGGAGAAACAAACGACTGAGTGTAAGCAAATATTATTTGCGTGTGCTCTAGTGAACGGTGCCTACCTACGTAGGACTCAAGTCCTGTTGATGCTACAAATGAAGACACGAAGCTTTGCCAAAACCGGGGGCGACTTTAGGATGATTACATCGTCCTTTCATGGGAATAAAATGTTAACAAATAGATAAATCTGTAAATACAGTTATTGTTATAATGTCCTTTTAGCTTACTAATCACCGATATTGCTCTGAAGTTCACATTGGCTGCTAATAAGTTTTATTTCTATACCTTGTCAAGCTTGCATAAGGTGCAGATTCACACAAAAGTATGTACACGTCTTCCTCTGCCGTAGAAATAATTTCTGTGACTCCTTTATCTCTGACAGACACAGGGATTGTAAACGTATCCGGAGAGCACTAATAGTGGCGCGTTTGGATCACTCATCGATATCTACTTGTGGATCAGGTTCGAAGCCTTTTAAGGTCGCTCAGAATGGCTCCGCCCTCCAGTGGAGAGGACGCCTAGGACTGGGTGAAAGCTGTCGGGGATATGTGGGGTTTAGTGACAATAGCTAACGAGTCACCAAGAAATGACCCGTGACTAGTGAATGAGGAGAAAACGGATAGAGCTACAACACTATGCTACGTAAATTCGTCCCAATAGGCATAACATATAATGTTAATACGTCGTAGCTTCTTTTTTTACTACCCGTACTACTACTACTACTACTACCTAAGCATCAAATGTTTGGGGTAGAATCTGAATGTATCTTTTGTACAGAGTAATGGATACATCAATTTGATAATATAAATATAAATTGAATTGCAAAAAACTGTTTTATTTCTTTGGGCTTGGACATGCTGAGTTCCTTTTGCATTACCAATATGACGGTAAATTACAAGCCTCGATAATAGCCCTCAACGAACGAAACGAAGGGAAGGTACCTGAATTATTTAAAAGCCCATGCAGTTTGAGCAACTGCTATAAATAGAGGTGTAAGCCTCTACGAGAAATCTGCCTATTGTCTTATTTGCGTCGATGCCAACTTATATCGGTAGATGTTACCATCTTTCCGCAATATCGGACCATATATCCGCAATCGTTATAGCTAATGGAACATATACGAAAAATAAATTAAGCTTTCCGTGTAATTTCGGAAGTTACGAACGGCAATTGTTGTTTTATTTCATTTATATGTAGCCATCTAGTTTGCGAGACAAGTTCCTTTACTTCGCGCTTGATCGAATTTCGAAATACGCCAGCTAGTAGGAAACGCACATATCTATGTTTAATCCCAAGCGAAGTACTATGTTCAATAATAGCTATAGGCATAATGTATAAATAAGTGCTCTTTTGAATTTGTTGGGCTGAGACCAGGGTTGTCCTTTACCACATACGTAGTTTAAGGGATGCTATTTAAGGTATTTCCTTAAGAAGATCACTGAAGTCTGCTTGAAATCGTAAAATTACACAGTGGGTAAAACAAGCGATGGACAAATATAGCACTATCGTAGGTCATGATCACGTCTTCTGTATTGCTTCACCGTTATTAACTACGTAAAATACTGCCACGAACTGCGCCTATGTAGTATGGTTACACAATAATTAGAATAATAGCGGTAATATTATTTTTGGCACAATCGAAAACTTGGTTTAACGAAACGGTCGTAAGGAACACAAGTGGTATATATAAATAACTAAGTATATTAAGGGGTTGATTTCTACAATTGTAGCCGGCCACAAACACCCCCGAAGAAGAGATTACGTTTGAGCATTTTTTTTTTCTGCGTTTTTTCGAGCTTAACGACACATACGTTACTGCGAAGATGTCAGTTTTAGGTCACAAGAGCCTGTACCAAGAGTCAAATCAGCAGCAACATTAGTCTTCTATGTTATGTTGCCACTGCAGACTACTCTTTACATTCGCTGTACAGCTTAGTCCGCCTGTACATGCTTGGCGGAAACATGAAAGCCACATGTTTTAGGTATAGTTCCACAGAAAATTTAAAGGCATTATGCAAATGTCTCTAGTCAAATATACTCATGTGTCTCGCTTCCAGGTGATCTCTCAGTCGAATCGGGATGATGACGCTGTGAAGATCTTCAAAGTCGCGGAATTTAATACAGCATCACCTGGGTCAATCTTCTTTGCTCACATATCGTTTAATATAAGTAGTAACCGAGAGAAAAGTATTTTCATCTTTTTCTTGGAATGCCTCTTCTATCTATGCTATCTTGAAAACAAAAGATTCATGATGCTTAATTTTTAAATGTCTAATATCTAATAAAGCATTTCTAAAACGAACAGAAAAGACAGTGCTAGGGGTCTTTTTTGAATTACTAGCTCTTTTCGCATGTGTTTTCACCAAATAAGTGACATTTAAACGATACATAGCTATATAAAGATCGCAGCATAAATGGCCAAATTAATGAAGCTCACTGAAGTAGAGCACTGTATAATGAATGCAGAATCACAGCAGAATCCATGGAAACTTCTACCCAAAAATAGATGATTGTTACGGTTTATAAACTAATATAAAAAAATAGTATGAAGAAGACAAGATCGTATTCGGGCAGACATTATTAGCACCTGAACCTGAAATAGGGTGTTGTTTTTTATTATTGATGGGCGCTTGCGTCGATAATCTTTTGCCGCTCTTCGCGCTAAATTTGTAGTAAAGACCGTGGCTTCATATGCATATAGAAGGTCAGCATAGAGAAGGACAAAAAGAGCCATATATTACCGCCGTAGACAAAAAAAGAAGTCGATGAAAATAAGAATTGTGCAAATATGTCGAATGGCCAAAGGTTAGCTAGTATTCTCTATTGAGTAGGGTTGTCGGGAAGCAACCAGCTTATAAGTGGCCCTTCGGAGCTTCTTCTGATCAGACAAAGCCGCTTTACCCGTATTCAGCCGGCAACGTTTCGCAGGTCACTCATTCTCAATGAACCTGGTGCTCTATTAGGAAGCATCTGCCTATTGTGAATCTGAACGCGAGCAATCTCTACAGATAGGGTGACGCGATTCTGCATCTTGGTGCAGCATTAGACGTTTCATTCTCATCGCTGTTAATGTAATTGAACAATCTGAGAACATTCAGTTTCCCGTAACCTGCATAACCCTAGAAGACGCCTTCGAAGTGCGCCAGCTCGCTAAAACAAGAAACTCGATTCGTAACAATATTCCCCTTAGCTGGCAATCAGTTGGAACGATGACCAATCATTATAGTATAGACCGTTCGTGCCACCCTCAAAGGTAAATCTTATTTACGAAGATCAAATTTATGAGCTGTCTTCTATGCGGTACGAAAGTAAACATATCGCTGTGCCAGTTCTGTCACTGTCAATGATTGGGATAAAATATCTTCACTTGGGTGGCCGAACGCTGACCTTCTAAACTGTCCTGCCGAGGACCTTTGCAAGCAACGATCCCATAAGGAACGACGCAATCTGCCATGAGCCCATCTTCTATGCACCTATGAGTAAACGTTACGTAACGCGTCTTCGCGCTCTGTTTACCATGTTATATATATATATATATATATATATATATATATATATATATATATATATGTGTATAAAATTGCTCGAGCTAACTTATATGTAAATATACGGAGTAAAATACTCCGTCTGCAGTTCTTTTAAGAGTCGATCGACTCGTTCAAGTTGAGTTTAATACGATACAACCACATACGAATAAACATAGGGTAGCCTTTAACACGTCCTTTGGTAAGGGATTTACAAACTGATTTGGGACTGTGTGTTTTGACAAGTTGCATAAGTTATTTTTAAGCTACACAAGTGAAGATCCGTTACCACCTTCTTCAATCCGCTACAAATTGTATGACACACGCACGGTTTCTATGTTGTTCTGTTCAGTCGGATCTCGGAGCTTGTCTATAGTGAGTTTGTACCAATATATACAGCGCTGCCGATCTCAGTAAAATAACGAATCGATTTTAAACGCAAGATGAAAGCACGTGACTCCTGAAGAAACAAACGCTCAGGTAGAAACAACAGTTACTATATGAAAGCGTTTCGTCAGCTACCGGCAATTGACACTGGGGACGACAGTTTTACGACGAGCTTTGTCACCTTTTTGTCGCTCAATGGTTCATAGACTTATTGCTAGACTACCGCATAATGTTACGGCGCGTGCCAGCGGGGGGTCACGAAAAACGCATACGACTGGAAGCCACTATGATCAAGCTTTTCTAGTAACTCTAATAGTCTCTGACTTTTGTCGAAACGTGAAAAACCTGAATACGCGTTAAATCCCTTATACGCATAAAGTTAGGTCGTCCAGTTGCGCCCTTTGAGACCTTTCGGCAGTCCCTCCAAGCCTTTGGACTCGACGGGCTGATATCCTTTGAACAGGATTTAGTTGGTTTGAAAGTTGGAACTTACACAGTATCTAGTTTCTAGATAGTTGTCGACAGTCTTAGATGAGGCTATCATCAAGATTTATGATAAGTGCTTTACTTGGAATATTTAACCATTTATTCCTACTGAGTTTAGTGAGCAGCTTAGCAATGGTTCTTTTGAACCATTGCATAAGCAGACAGATACTTGTCTTCAAAGCGACTCTTTAGAGAACTCGCGTGGAATCCATTCGTAGATGAACGACGCTGCTGATGCAGCTCTCTAGCTCACTATATGGTACATCGGCTGAAACGAGTCAAATGCCCCGCCGAGTTGACGAACGGGGCCCATTTTATTGGGCGACGTCAAGGATTAGAGTGCAATTGTGTTACCTGTTTGAACGGTTCGGAAGCTTTCCTCTGAGATAAAGGCTAGACACCGCGGCGGATCAAGTTGTTGCGGTCGCTACTGCTTTGAATAAACCCGTCAGTTTATTTAAGGTGGTTTATTTAAGAGGATGAACTGGTGTAGGCTGGACTGAGGTAAGACGACGACGACGATGATCGGAACTGTGGTAGCTAAGGTCGACAGGTCTGCGAATGTTCACACCTTTTGACTATTCAGTATGATTCGTCAGGATATTAACCTTACATTATCAAGAATATCGCTATTAACAACTATTCGACTAAAAAGCGTAAAAAGGAAGCCAAACGTTTTATATATTATATATAAATATTGATTTTGATAAAACGCAAACGCCTATTTTACTCCGTTGCGCAATACATTCACGTGAATACTCATCATCACCGTTTTTGCGAACGAAGAAAAGATATAAATTATAGCGTGCAATGAGCGGCACTATGTGACTGTAAGCTGTTTATTGATTGTTATTACTAAAAATATGAAGTGTTTTTAATTTAGAATAATCGAGTATTTCTCATTATGATTAATGTATCATAATATCCTCAGAGTAAAACTGTTTTAAAGCACCGCGACAACTATAGTCCACGTGGACAATCACTTATTATCATGTTATCTGTAATTATCAAAAACAAGCATCCCAATGTCAACGATTCTCATCCGGTGTTAGCCGACCAACTTTATGCCACCGTAAGCGTTTGAAGATAACCGGATCTAGCCCGAGTTTAGTTTATACGTATATCTAGCTTATTGATATGATCTTAATGTTATTTTAATCAGATGACATTGAACCGTCGAAGCCGTCCGACCCATCTTACCCGTACGTATATACATGCTTCGAAGGAAGTCAACTTGTCAGCCAGAAGAACACAGCCAAATCATCGAAGAAGATGCTGTTCGACGTGCACAAACGATAACATACTCAAACGGTAACTAGGTACGCCTACAGATAGGTAACCATGTAGGTACATACGGCATAAATGGGAATAGGCTAGCTTCATACATCGTTCCCAATACAACAAAAGCATTTGCTCGTATGGCTTGTCTCTTACTGTTGGCAGATTGTGCCTACTGGCACGTTCCGTTCGGAAAATAGACACCTCTTTCCTACGATTATCGTAGGATTCTTTTCGCCGCCGAAACCCAAACAAATACCCCGGACTACACTGGATCGACAGATGACCAAACGAACGACGAAACCCCCAACCGATTCTAGTACCCAGTTACTTCCACATCCGATCATGGTCGTAGCGGTTTTGGCAAAAAGAAGTAAGGTAATATTAGCGTTCACAGAAGTTATCGACTAGGACCCAGTGGCTACCAGCTACTGAGCGCCTGCCGGCTTGTCCGTCCATCTAAAACTCCTCTTCGAGGACTGCACAAGAAGCTCAGTACTATTTGGATATGTACCGAGTAGCCTCTGGGCCTAGATAGAGCAATGAACACAGATCTCGTTAGTTAACGAATGTCTCTACTTATTCAACATCATTTCCAGTTGCGGTGCTATTCCTAAGTGTGTTCATTGCTAGGGCTACATTACGCTCATTAGTTAACTTACTTAAGTTACTTGCCTATTCCGAGTAATAAGTAGCTCTTTTACATAAATGAATACATTATCGTCAGTGTTAGTTGAAAAATACGATTATGACCTCGTAAGCTATTCAGCTGATAAACGAAGACCACTGGTTAATTTGCGGCCACTGAACTGGCTTTACTGAGAGCGTTTAGGACGTCGGGTCGGGCCGACTCGGTCAGCAAAACGGTGAAAGTCGGGTTCCTTGTCTGTCTGTGTCACCGGATTTCCGAGCGTGCCGCTATACGAATATCTAGCCTCTGGCAGTGGAAACGCTCCAGAAGCATCGGCCGTAATTAATTCGACTTACGCCACCAACAGATCGGATCCTCTGAACATACAGCCATGATTAATATGGTAGCACGAGCGAGATGCATCTGAATTTGCGAATGAACAGTATACAATATATATACATACATATACATAGAGGTATGGCTTTGTGTGTTGGAAAAGCTTAGCGTACTCGCTACTTTCAATGGTCATTATATCGTCCATGGCACTTTTTTGACGGGCGCAGATTGCTCCACCACAGGAAGCTCACTCACATCGTATCGTTTGTGTATAGTACGAGTAGATTATGAGCAGTATTACAATAAGGGAACGAAATACAGCAGAGAACAAAATTATTTCATTTTGTAGTATATTTATCTTTCATAACTGAGTTAGTTTTTCGAAAGCGAGAGAACACTCGATGTTGTCACTTCTGTGCGAAGGCGCGTACCAGAACGGTCTGTGGAAGCCATCACGTGGCCTGTAGCAAAATCTGGAAGCTAACCGTTCGAACGGTTTTAGTGTTCGCAAATCGTATACTTAAACATGTCCTGGCAATAATAATGGCAGACGAATCGGAACAAAAAGCTACCAAGGGAGTCAGCAGTTAAAAGCTGAGCATCTAAATGAAGAATTGTTGTTACATTCATTTGTTCGTCCGTGCACAAAATATCTACTATGAAGAACCAAGCATATCATCGTTCCGATTGTCGCCTTCTACAAGCAGGCAATTCTAAGACCATCAAGCGGATGCAAGCTCCGTCAGATTTACATTTATGTCCTAGCACTGTTGTCCTTAAGAGGTACTAAACCTATCCGAGCACTCAGAAGTCTATCATCACTAACGATAAATGTCTTGAAGAGACTGTTTGTGCGAATGGCACAAAGCCACAATAAAGAGCGGTTTATCTGTCGCTTTACAGGAAACAGCTTTTTCTGAACCAGCGCAAAGTCAACTTGCTTTGTTCGGGTCCACGGTTCAATATCTGCGTGACTCCTTTATTTATTCACAGGAGAGACAAGCAAGGCGGACTCTAATTATATGACCCAATAAATAAGAGATTTAAAGTTAACGCTTACCCGCCATTTATAAATTATTGCCGAAGTGTCCTGCATCTCTATGGTCGGTTGCTTATCTGTACCGTGTTGTTGTGACACATCAATAATCTCAGAAACTTTGCCGCCTTTCACCAATGTAGTAAACGCGCTTTCTTTCATGTCGATCATTTGTCGATACCACAAACGATTCAAACGATAGCCGGCCGCCTATTTCCTTCGACTGCATGAAGTAAAAGGACTTCACCCCTATTTAGCAGAGTCTCGACGTTCACCTCAATGAGCATCAGCTATACCACATACGCTAGAGAAATTATCTCGTTTCGCCCAAATCACTGGGTGCCTTAAAAGGGCTTGGAGGGTTACATATTGGCCAATCTCGGTCCAGTTCTCGCTGACCACAAAACAGCGCACAGGTCTTCAGTCGGCGTCTTTAGAAAAAGCCGACAGAGCGCTTACAGATACACGAGCTCTAGCAAACCCATCGGTGAACTGGCCCGCTGATCCTGCAGTATTTTCAGGCCTTTCCGTCCGTTGGTTCGTACTTCGTCTGCTGCTGCTTTTGAGGTCTTTGAGTGCTTCCGCTGCTACTGTCGATGGCGGCCAAGCTCTTCAAAAGCTTTAGTTATTGCCAGGGGGTATCACTGCGTCACAAATATCGGCGACCTTTTGCTTCTCATGCTAGTAGCATTAGTAGCAGCGGCCCTTGGTGCGTCTAATTTGCCTCGTATTGTCCCTCCGAGCGTTAGCATTGTGACCAGTATTCAATTCATTGCTAAGCGTAGAATTGCGCCGTCACTGCACTGTGGTGAGGCTGTGCAGTGGCGAACGAACTACATTTGTCGCTGCTGCTCCCGCTGCAGCCGTTCTGGCCATCGATCCTTTACGCAGTCGTCGACTGAGCGTATCAGAACACGGCCATCGTGTAGCTGCGTCTGCGAACTTTGCAAAATCGCTTCCTAACTCCATCGAGCTCGTAGGCCGACCCGCTCGTCCTGCCTTGGCGATCGCTAATCTGTCTGCTCATGGGGGTCAATTGGCTTTGAGGACCAACGCAGAACTATTATATTGTGGCAGCCACTTAACTCGAGAAGGAAACACCGCAAAGCACCCGGACGGAACACCTACGGCAAAGGCTAACAGAGAACACATCTGAAAGTTAGCATTGCTCTGTTAGATATCAGATCTTTTGGCTCTGGTAGACAATGAGCCGATACGACTGGAGCTGATTGGCCTGCTATATCTTATTAAAGAAGTCCAGCAAATGGAAACACTGTTACAGGTATGGAGGCTTGACGCTTGTAAATAACCATCGACTGGCGTTTAATTTCATGACACTGTTTAGCGTGCGCTTGTAACAACTAAAAGTTATGATCTCTAGAATAGCTGCTTGTGGAAGTAGGCCGCGCTGCAGAATCTAATACGAATAAGTTGAGCTTTGCTTCGATTGCATCCGACGTTCACTGGTTACGTAGGCTACGTACGAAAATCAACAACTCCTCCACGGAAAAACGGCACGGAGACATTACTAAAGGGCTAACTACGAGAATAATGGAAAGCAGACAGCATCCATCGTTCGGTGGCATGCGGAGTGCGTCAAATTCAACCAGTTGAAAATTCGACTATGGTAAAGTTAACAGATATTTTCAAGCTAGCTATAATATAGAGATATACAAATGCTGTGCCTCGTGGTGACGAATTCTCTACCGCGTGGTTGTCTTCTAGATAATTTGTCGCTCACAGCAGTGTTGATTCATAACGATAATCTTGCCCCGTGACACGATGATAACTGTTTTTACGGAAACAATAACAGGAAAACACCTATGACGCCCTAACCAACGCCCTCTGCTTCATATTGCCGGCAAACCTCTTCTACGAAGCCGAACTAACTATTAACTTTCTGAAAGATAAGCTATGAAAGGGCGAAACTCAGAGAGAAGTTCGTAACATGTGCTAACTTCAAGCGCCTATTTCAACAATCATTTCTAATACCTATGAGTCATTCCCACCTTTGACGCTTAAGAGGCGCTCGGGAAGGTCAGCACGTTCTCGACGCACTATCAGCCATGCCTCTCGCTCCCCCTCATTCGCTGCTTCTTTATTAGTCACCTTTGCTCCTTCGGCTTCCACAGCGAAATGAGATCGCGAGAGTCTCCAATTCTCACCAAATGCTACTTCAGCTAACTAACAGTTACTGTTGTTGCACACCCAGCGCCCGTCGCAGCGGCTGCTCTTGTTGATACTGCAGTTACTATTTAAGTTTTTACTCGACGGACCTGTATCGTACGCACGACAGCAGTGATTTTACATAGCGCATATGTAGAGATAGAGGCTCGTTGTAGTGCTAGCATCGCAACACTCGCAGGGAGTCTGGTGCTCGTAGCCACTACTGCGTCTTCCATGAGAAATTCATGTTTTATCGCTCATGTCCCTTGTTCGGCGCTGAGCGCGGGCGATTGGCTGACGACGATGCCGATGCAGCTAATAGTAAAGAAGACTATGAGACCTCATTCTGAGACGAAAAGAGTCTTTCGTTGTGCTAGCATGTAGATAGTTCTTGCGGTCTTTCGTTCTACACGGTAATGGTTCCCAGAGAGCTCACTTTCTTCTAACAACCCATCCGGCCGCCGGCTCGCAAAAGCGAGCTCCAATAGCTACTGTGCTTGCTGACTGACTGACTGACTGACTGTCAATCAATATGTCATCTGCTAGTTTCGTAGACGACACTCGTTCGGTGGCTAGGTAACTGGACTGTTTTTGTTCGCTTGCTTCGATGTTCGCAGCAGCTACGCAGAGGGTAGCTACGTGCGCTGTGTGTTCTGCCGGCCGCGTGAGACAAACCGTGTTTCGGTAGCCGCCGTAGCCGGACCAGTCAAAGTGCACCAACCGAACAAACTGTCGATCGTCTTCGGAAGTACTCTGCCAGAAATCGGATCGTACCCTGTTAGGACCTCGACACGTTTACCTTTAGGCAGGCAGAAAATAGGCACGAAGTGAAGTTAGTCACAGTGCCGGGCATTAGGAGTTGCTGGTGCTACTGGGACTTGTGCTGAGTGACATGTAAATTGCCACTTCGTGAGGTGCTAATCGGACACTAAGCAAGCCAAGCAGAAACCCTGTTGAACATAATAATTGAATCAGTACACATACAAACATTACCAGTTGTAATTGGTAGCAATAGAAGTAACAGCAAAAACTCGCCAGCGAAAACTGACCCTACAAAGGGTTCGTTCCTAGTTAGTGAGGTTTCAGAACGAAGCAGCAAATACATGATTAGCGTTCATGGCTCAAAAGAGTGACGGAAGTCTGGACTAGCTCGGATAGACACAAGGTGTGGCCTTACCCTTCAGCAACTTCACAATGCATTGAATTTCATTGAACATGAAGGCTGAGCCGGTAGCGAGGTCGGAGCGTGAGGTGTCGATTTTCTCAATAATCCACTTAGAACTTCCTAGATTTGAATGAATGAATGAATGACGACGAATGAAGCTGGCATAGATGAGCTGAAGTAGTCGTGCTACGTTACTTATCATTTCATCACTTTAACGCTAGTAGTCCCATATCTAAACTAACATGACCAATGACATGGGTGAACATGATGATAAACACGCACGCACGTAACCGCCTTCAAGTGTTAACAACCTATGCTCTAAGGCAAGTCAGCTTAAGGTTTTAACCTTTCATAACGCTGTGATAACAATCACGTATAGATAAGTATCATCTTCATCTTATGTTTATCTGTCTTCATCAGGTTTCATGCATTTAAACTGGCCATTTCTAATAGAAAATCCTTTGACAGTTAAGTTGGCTCAACCGTCAGCTCACCATCGAAAGCCAGGTGACATGACGCTGTTCAAACTGATAAATTCGATCCGCTCCATGGTAATACCATTTGCAATACTTGCTTAGTTCAATAAAAGTTATGGTGGAGCTTCGAAATACCTGAAAACTAGCCCACGATAAACTCGCAGTTGGAACAATAACGCTGGACCTTTTAGTGAACCAGCTCCACGAGATCGCTAAGAGGTACGACACAATAAAGCTCACTATTAGCTTGATGGATGACACCCCTTGGAACGTCAAACCAAATGACTTTATTGTGACTCCACGCGGTGATCCGAGATGAATGACTTCAGATCATTACTCGTGTCTACGTCTGAATCAACCGGGCCACCGAAAATAGTCTACTTCTCACAGTACAGTCATCTCGCGCCAAGGTAAACTTCGCGCGTTTTACCATTCAGGCTCGACCTCAGAGAAACGACCATACGATCGTTCCCGCACTTCTGCGATGCCTGCGTATTCTTTTGGTACAGCAACTACCTTGTCGTACCGGGAGAAATTATTTTCAGTAGCCTAGAAGATTTTATTGACATTTGAGGTGAAGATAGGTCAGGTCCTTTTTTCCGTCGTTTGTAACGTTGTGGCCAGCAACGTAAATCAAGTTAGGAGAGAAGCTAAATATAGTTCGTCAAACAAGCACAGCAGTGATATTTCAGTGATAGCTAGAACAACTTTGCCCCTGCCTGCCAAACATATTATCTACAACGCGTTTGCGATGCATGATAACTGCAGTGGTGGCCGGGAGCGAAAATGTTCGCGGTAGTCTATTAAACAGCACTTAGAGACAGGGCCCAACCGAATGGCTTGTATCGAGGACTGCGAAATTAGTCACAAACGCTATACATACAAACGAAGATCATTATCATCATTGCAGCTACAAATTTTCATGAATAACTATGACGCCTCTACAACCACTAGTAGTTATTTTTATGTTATGAAATAGATAACTTTGTTAGTGACGTTAGGAAACAAAACCATATCTAGCTAAACGTCTTTATGAATTTTTGAGCACATCGAACAATATTGCGCAACGTTTAATTTATATAATAATATTTCACAACTGCGTAGAAAGAAAATTAAGTTGATTTCGGCAATCCTACTCCTATCATTACTAAACCTATCAAAACATGATAAGATATCTAACAACGACGAGAACTTATTAAGGTAGCTTCCTTTACGAGGGCAAAATTATGTTAACCCTAATGCTGCCGTATTCAGTTTTGCGCGAAACGATTAAACATGGCGACGTCTGATTCAAGGTCCTGCCACTAAATAAAGCCGGCGAGTCAGCTCTGAAGGCCTCGGCTCAGCGTTTGGCTATCGAAATAACAGAAATGCAACGCTTTGTTGATAAAAATCTGCGCTCAGGTGATATTTGAATCATTTATGAGAGAGGACGCACCTAAATCGTTAATAGAGTCAAAGAAATAATAAAAAATTATGATTATGATACCCTTTATTACAGGAGTGCGCCAACCCGACTCATTGTCTAGAAAGCTGGCGAAACTTATCGTTATTGGAATGCCTGACCAAAAGAGGAACAGCTCATGTCGTCCCACGGTCCTCAATTCAAAAGGACGGAACGCGATTGAAGAAGTGGTTTACATAATGAAATTTTATCTAAGGTACGCCATATACAGGCGGCTTTATAGCGGTGTGGCTTCGGTAAGACAATCCCTAAGGAAAGCAAGAATAAATTGTCAAGCTTTGATCTTAACAAAAAACATATTGCTGGAACCGTCAATCCATTTGCTACGATCTTCTAGGAACGTGTGAACATTCAGGATAGATATTGTGTTTTTTTTTTTTTAGATTTCTTGCATAGTGCAATCGTTGCACCACGTATGGCTAAAGCGTATATGAAAGGATTCTATGATGGATCAGGCAGTATCAGAAGATTATATTCGAGCCTCTACTATTGCTCTATGTCGTTTCAGCTAAATGGCGACTTATCACATTTGATGGTTGTAATTTACCGTAGACATATGCAGGAGTCTCCTCCGCCTTTTTTATGTGCCTATTATGCTTGTTGTGTTGCACGTGTGAATATGCCGATTGTTCCAGTGGCCATTTGACGTATCTATGTCTTCAATCTGTGAAGTTCATTTTTCCAATGTTTCCTTTAGAATTGGATGTGCATGACCTTCGACAGATTTGCCCTATACTAAACATTGCATTTGTTGTACGATCGCGACAACTTGATATATAACTTCTGCATATAGAGATGTATATATCGTGCACATAGAAACGAACGTTTTTAAATGATATATTACGACTATTGAGGATAGAAGCTCGGGATTTTATTTTTATATCCTGCTTCTGCTACATACTAATCATTGGGCGAATTATTCATTCACAGGTTTGTTAAATATGTTCCGAGCCATTGAGTGAAGAATTGTAATATGCTGTTATATCTTCGTATTATAGCTATATTAGCTACTTCTAGTACGTAAAGCAAGTAGTATTTTTCAAAAAAAAGCTGCATTGGTACAACTGTGCACGATAGTTATTATCATTAGCACCGTCATCATCATCATCATCATCATCAGACACAAAGAAGAATATATAATGTATGCAAAGCGTTCATATCCCATAGAGAATACGCAACGAGCTTTATTTTGCTGAACGAGTAGTGGTAACTTTTCACATGAAACAAAATAACGCATGAAATAATCTCAGGAATCGGCCTGAAAGCCTGTATAAACGGGATATACATATCTAGAAAAAAGATGTACAAGAATAAGCAAGTTAAAGAGAAGTACAGAGCAGGAGAGGTCCTGTCGGAATGGTGACAGGTACCACGTAGCTTCCATTTCCGCGAAGACAATAGGACAATTGGTGCAGCTTGCGACGACCTCCCGTTGCGTGCTAGGCACTATGCGCGCCTGTCTCTTGGTGGATCGTGACGTTTATGTTAGATATCTATTGATACGACTCTCTCGTCCTGAACTGTGGAATTCATGCGATCTAAGAACTTCACTATATATTTGTTTCGCCACCGTGGTAGTAGTCTGATGCGTCAAGAGCGACTATGTCGTTGAGCCTGTCTCTGAAGTAGACGCTGAAGTTTAGCAGTTCTTCGTTGCAGTTGACTTCAGTTTGAATTCGCCGTCCAACGTAGCTGAACTTCGAGGGTCGAGGGTGAAGAAGCCATCGCCCTCGCTTACTGGTCGAGTTAGAAACATTCTCCCAAAACCTCGAATGCGTTTGAGTTCAACCGTATCGCCCACATGATCAAAATCCGGCAGAAGGACGGACGGCAACAGCCAATCAACGTTGTGCGCTTGGTCACTTCAGGTCGTTTGGGAGTTGCTCGCTTCAAACGTATCGCCCTCCCTCACAACGTTCCGCGCGCCATCTCAATTAAAGTGTTTACTCGTAGAGAGTTACTACATGGTCCATGCAGCCTGTGGAGACAGTTGGTTTTTTTTTTCTTTGCACGTTGGATCTGGCCAAAAGTATCTTCAACCAGGAGGTACGAAAAAGGCCGAATGCGAACATTGTTGCTGCCGATTATGTGATCAGTTCCAGCAGCTCATGCTGTAGCCGTCTAATATACCTGCATGAATCATTTGTCCCTAAGTTACCCATTATTTGATAAACGCGCTTCTGGTTGTGCACTTGATGATCACTAATTAATAACGTCGACGCACCTCGCCCGATTGCCCATTTACACTTGAAAAGGACTCCTGTATATCTCTATGGAGAAAAGAAGAGCGAAGGAACAGATTAAGCAGGTAGATGCACGTTCGTCACGCATAGGCAGGCACAGACCTGATTTCGCCTCGAGCTGCTTTGGCGCGTTCCTTTACCAACATTAACGTCGCGTTCTCTGACATAACTCTCTATCGGCTGCAAACAGCATTTGATTTTAGTATTATCGGGTTATCAAAACCGGGGCGCACTTGGAAATAGAAAGAATGGTACGTTTGTGGTCCTCTCTCTACCCTCCAGAACTCCTGAAACGAACTCAATGTGAGACTTCAAGTTCGGTGACCGCTGAGGATTCAGATTAATTATAAGTAAGCCAATAGCTGAGCTCCCGACGATCCAGCATATGGACAAAACTTCAGAGACTGAAGTGTTGTTGTAGTTTGTGAAACGACGGGTGTTTTTGGCCGTGCAGTGGATAGTTCAGCTAGCAAATTGTCGGAGAAGTGAAACGTTCCAAATTTGTTGAAAGACTGACCGTGCGCGTAGCAGTATTTTAGTGAAAAGTAGTGTTCCTTTTATTGTGCATTAGTACTAAGCCTGTTGAAGTACGACAGAATGACGGAGCTCCAGGAAATAATAGACTGGGGACCCACGTTAGCTTTTGCTCTTGCGATTATGTTCATTATCAACGTGGTCACAGTGGTCTACATATTTGTTAGAAAGGTCTGTATAAGACATTTACGATAAAGCTGTATACTTGAGTTGCTTTTATCATATTTCCTCATAAATTGTTTAAATCAACTATTTGATGAGAGCTGTTGGGAGCGAAGCGAGCTCACGTCTCCCTAGGGCTAATAGGCGAACAGGTCACCCTAAAACCGTCACGAGAGCCATTTGACACAGCCTATTCGTCGTATAGTTAGTCATGGTACTATGAAAGCAGTATCTATCGTCTGTGTCCCGATGACGCCCTTTATGACTTCTAGCGTTCCAGCACTTCTGGTAAAATGAAATGCTCTTAATAACATAATAACTAGCTTCTATTTCTTCTGATATAGGACACAAAGCTCCTAGCGGTTATATCTGCGGTGCTGTATTTCTATGCAACTTGCAATCTCGTCGTGTTTTTTGTGGTGTGGCAAGTCCTCAATCTCTACGACTACACTGGACATCTTCTAAATCAGGTATGAAAAAGGCTAACGTTTTCTGCGGATCTTCTTGAACATATCACACCTAAAGCCAGGCGTCTAGACGAACTGTATCTGGTGGTTTTTCAACAGTTTTACGTCACTTACATCCCTTATGCGTGTCAATGATATGATAGCATTTTTGTGGCCTTAACAATTTAGAAAGGATCAGTAGCTGGCTGTGAGCGTATCTAGAGACGAACAGTAAGACTTGGACGTGGATTAGAACTTTCAGAGCGAGCGTAGTAAATATCGACATGTTTCATTCACTAGACACTCATTCGGATGTTATTTTCGTGTCGCAGGTATCATACCATTCGATTAACGAACAATTGTTCAGGGCGCTACGAATCTCCAGCTACGAATGCCGAGTGAAGTTCATCTGCGAAATGTCCCGTCTGATTACATCAAAGAGTGACGCACTCAGCTCGTTTCTTCGTTTTGTGCATACAACCTTTGGAGGTTTCGATGGCGACTATATCAGTGGTGCGCTTGAGGGCTTAACCGGATCCGACTGTTCAAGTGTCTATACGAGATGCACCTATTCTCCGCTAAACAAGACGTTCCCGTTTTTGTTAGAGAAGTTCTAGTGGCTTCTATTTCAGTGTTGACGGCGATCCGTTATCAAAGCTGCCTTCAAACTTGATAGCATCCACACTCAATGCTAGAACGTGTTACGACTGTATAAGCAATACGGTAATAGCATTAACGATCAAATATTGTATGCTTACATACGATATACATCAATCAACAGCTTGTCAATAAACGACTATGAGCGAGAACTGTTGTCAATAACAACAATGGCAATATGACAACCGTTACTCCTTGTTAACGATTCCACTAATAACTCTCTTAGAATTACCGGCAGTACTTTCGATAATCAGAATCAAATCTACAATGGACGCCATAATCATTATGGTAGTAATATACAACTTTTGCAAACGGAAGAGAACACGGTTGCCATTTATCCATGTGTCATTAATTCACATTGTGTTAGGGCTTTCACCTGCGCGGAATGAAGATGGAGTTGAAGTGGCTTAAGCCCATCTATTTACAATGTGTGTTTGTAAAGCTCATTGACACTGTATCCCAACAAAACTTACCTAAACAGTCCTATACCTTAGCAGCAGGAACTGAGAGTTGCTATTGTTTGATACTGTATAGATCCTCAAACCATAGGTAACTATGATTTGATATGTGAATCATTACTAATTTCTTAAGTGGATATATGCTTTTTGTTTTCAGTTTGATAAGCACATGCTGCCTTTGAAGTATATACATCAACTGTCAAATATGGAAATGTCCTAAAATAGGTTTAGACTGAGACACAGAAGGACCTCGTTATATCGACATAGCTTTCTCACAATGAAATACTCAATAAAAAAGAAACAAATTTTTTATTTTTTCTAAAAAAGGTTTCTATAGCATGAAGGCAATTTCACTGAATCGAAATACAGGTATGACTATTTATATATCATTACTATTACCGTTCGCGGACACATTGAAGAGTCGCAATATCCTCTAATGAGGGCTGCTCGGAAATACGCTTATACAACTTATTATAGAAAAAGCATGAACCTATTAGAAAATAGCGCAAGGCCACGATATTCCAGTAACACAGAAGGCCATGTACATTCAGCTGCAGAAATGTACGAGCGAATACGACAAGTTCGTTTACAAGACGGGATCAGGCCAAGTGTCGTTTACCTTGCGAAAATCTAGCTTCATCTAATAAAAAGTATTTTGAAATTAAACTCTATTCTATACTAGGATGCATTTTTTTTAAATGATCCTACAGAGCACCATTTCCTTATGCGCACCTAGTCAAATCACGTAAATTAAAATATATTCTTTTCTGTAACGTTCATGTTACCACTTACGTGGCGGCATAGGTTTTATCCGGGTGCTACCGGGGTTACTTACTCACGTGTTCAACTCTGTGGAACACAGACGGATACCAATCCAGCCGTAGCAATTGGTTAAATAACCCAATTATAGTTAAGATGCCAAGGTGTAGTAACTCAGTGTTCAAGCGCATTTGTCTTATTCGATTGAACTAGTCTTTCTCCAAGATGCGCAATCTGCACAAAGTAAGTACTTTTTTTCGATTATGGCGGTTTTTTTTTCAAGTATTAGGTGAAATCTGTTATTATTGATTAGTAATTCCATTATTATTATTATTTGTACCATATAAATTAATACTATTAATACCATCAATATAAGGGAATACATGGAAATGTTCCTTAACGTCTGTTAAGTCTTTCAGGCGATTTTATTACCTGGTAATATAATCAAACGGCCTTTTTTTACTCTGTAAATAAGATTTTTTACTTTCGTCAATGAGCTATACAATGCGATCCAGAAACATAATCCAGCAACGCCCTCTAGAGGGTATATGTAAAGTCCGACAGATTTTAATAATGTTAGTACTAACAAATCAACACTATACGACTAAAATCGTTCGTTTTTGTTGCATACAACAATATTTGGAGAATTTCGAACTTTCATGAGTATCCTCAATATTCCATATTCGAACGGGATGCACTTTTCGTCAATACTTGAACTATTACGCCACCTCCAACTTCAATTAAACATAATTAATTCGACTAAATAAAGGTACTCTTTGATATATACAATACTATATTTTAGTGTGTTTAATATAGTGGCTATAATAATTTCTGACAAATTAAATACTTACGAATCTGTCTTATTTACATCATCTGCAGATAAAAACTAAACTTTACAATGGTTTTAATATATGGTAGTAATCTTACTGTACTCCCTCAGAAAATTAACCTGTTGGTCGTATGTTCGGTAACACTCTACTCAGTAGTCTTTCAGCATTCTTTGTAGTTTGGGGATTGCGCCACCTTCATGATCATCTTCAACAGCTCCTGTATCAGGTACGTACATTAGGCACATAAACAAAAAATTACGACTGGACTTTTATGTGCCTGTACATGCTATTAATCACTTTTCATGGCATCTATTGCAAAAGTAATTATACAATAAATTTGCTTTAAATATAGTCTTTGTGATCATCTTTCTAATCATCCTTCGACTACTATGCCTTGTTATCAACATATGTGATGACCCTTTACGAACGTAAGTTTACCACCGAGCGCAGTGTACAAACGGAGCTAACAACCCCAGTATTGCGATAGTCACATTTATACGAAAATCATATTTATACGGGAAAAATTCTCGAAAATTTAGATTTTTATACCTATCCGTTTTTTACGACTCATTTTTTTGTATGGTCTTAATGTTCTGCAGGTGTCGTACCGTCCAATAAGTGAACAGTTTTTCGGGCAGCTTCGCATCTCTGGTTACGAATGCCAACTGAAGTTCATCTGCGAAACGCGCCGCTTGATCACATCGAATACCGAGACACTCAGCTCGTTTCCTCGTTTCGCTCATGCAGCCTTTCTGTATGCTGACGGCGGCTATATCAGCGGTACACGTGAGGGGCTTTCTGGAAGCGACTGTGGGCGAATCTATACGGGATGTCCCCATTCACTCTTAAACTAAACTTTTTCTTTTTTGCGAGATATTTCTAATGATTACATTTAAAGCTTCATAAGTTGATACAGAAGCCCAAGGAGTATTCTTTGGAAACTATTTTATGGAAAAAAATTTAACGAAAATGGTTATCACTATGTGAAACTCGTTAGTGAACGCTGTTCGATTGATTTAAAGGGAACAAAAAAATTTAAAGTCTATGTTTCACGAGAATGATGTGCCACTTTGACCTCGTGTACATAATCTAGTATGAGGCATTGTTTTTGATTACGTTGAAGCTTTTTAGCACCAGTAGCTCTGCTCATGGTCTGTTGCTCATCCTGCGCCCCGAACTATTTATGTGAGGTAAATAGTATTTTACTTAACTTATAGGGTGTGCTGCGTTTTGCTTGTACTTCAGCCTCGATGAAAACTACAAGTTGACTAGATCATAGCTATTTCAAATTAGGTTGTAGGCTGTGGCCGCCTCGGTCGAATGTATTGGCTTTGAGTAACTTCTGGTTCTAGCCATTACTTTTCTAAATGAAATTAAATAAGCTTATATATACAAACTTTCTATTGACTAAATCCAAGCCAAGTTGAAATAAGAATGAATTTAAAAAGCCATTTATATTAATATGCACCTTATGCGTGTCAGTTCTCACTCTCCCATCCTATGCAGTATGCGCCGTGCGACTCTATTACTTTCAGTGTGCATTATCTTGACACAAAAATCTGGAATATGGTCTTGCTTCTTAGTTGATTTGCCCTTACTGAGAAGCATCTTTCTTCATGTAGTTGACCTTACCGCTTTAGGTTCTATTTAATTCTATGTTCCTACAGTTATTATTACTGCCATACGGATCTAGTAAACCTAAACATAAAACATAAATTCTTCCTTTCAAGACAAATACTCCTATATTTTGCGTTCACTCGGTACAGCATAGCCATTTTAACAAACATTATTCCGACTTTTTTATTTTGTTCATTTTTTTTTGTCTCAAGCGTGCTAATACATTCTACCCCATATTCGCCCGCCTCTCAATCCTCCTGTTGCGGACAGCCGAATTTTCTGTTTTGAACCAGTAGCATTTTCTCTGATACACACGCACAACAAGGCGCCACCACAGACTCTGACAGATACACACGCTCTACTCTCTCATCGACATCGACACGGAGCAGAAACGTGCATCCAGTCAGGAGAAACGTGCGCGCAGACTCACCAACAATCTTTTAGCATGAACTCATCACACATTCAGCTGAGACTCCCCGCCGTCACGGACGTCAGTCCCCGGCCACATAAAGACACAGCGCTCTGTCGCTCGCATAGCTACTTCCGTTGCGGTTGTTTACACTGGCGCTAGTGAACTACAACATCGACGACAACGGCGACGGCTGCTAGCTGGAGCAGACAAACACCATCCTATCCAGACAGATGTTAGTTCGTCACCGCATACGCCCAGACAGACGGCCAGACGAATCGAGAGTAACGAAGCGGCAGCGGTAGCGGCGAAAGCAATAACACAACATTGATGGCATTGCCATCACCATCGACAAAGAGCAGAGGATACACAGGCAAACAGACGAACGGATGCATGCATAGATATTGGGATAGGCTCAGCGAAAACAGCTTTCTAGCCAGCTAGAGCTCCCGAACGAGATAGCCGTTCGGCAGGCGACCAGCGGCCTGCCGCTGCTGCAGCGGCAACGACGACGACGACAAACGTAGTGTGGCTGGTAGTAGCTCACGCTCGAAAACCGCCTGCATCGGTTTCTTAGTTCGTGTCTGTGCTTTCTGCTCTCCTTTTTGTAGCTGCTGCGGCTGATACGCCTGTAGCGAGTGAGCGGTGGGCTGAGCGACCGATTGTTATTCATCATTGGCAACTGCCACCGCCAGCATTAGCAATAACAGCAGAATTTCATACACACACATACACACAGATCAATAGAAGACTGCTGTTATTAACGCTGCTGTTTGCAATGGTACTAACTGATCGATGCTAGATTCTACTCGGTTAAGAACCCAACCGCTGCTGTATTGCTTGATTGTTTGTCACTATCAAAAGCACCGCCAGCTGAGTTGTGAGTATCTGTGTTGTTGTGCACTCTCGCCGGCAGCCGAGTCTGCCCGACGTCGTACTGGCGACTGAGGAGATCTTCACAGTTGCAGTCATACCTTACGTCGAACCTCACTCGATAAAGATCTTCCTCAAGTTGTATTAGCTTCACTACGAACGTTCACGCCGGGACCGACAAGTAGTGCGTGTTGTTATTTGTTGATTATAACTCTTGCCTATAACATTGACTCTGTGTGTATAAATGCTATCAGGGCATTCCGAGGACTCCGAAGATTCCGGCTGGCTATAACATACTGTCGTTTTGTTAGAATTCGCTCGCCATCAACGACACAATCGGCTATTGACGTCTGAGGGTCGCTTAGTAAACTCAACAGCGTGTGGTTATCGCGGCTTGCGACCAGCGTCACGACCCCCCCCCCCCCCCCAAAGAGGAACCTAAGAATTAACTACCCAACCCCTAGTTTCATTAATTGGTGTGTGGGCCTGTGTCGAATTTGGCGCCCGTGGCTAAAGGTACCGTGTGGAGTTGTGGTGTTCGCCAATAAAGCCAAACAAATAAACGCACACGGAGATAACATCAACCTCAGGTTAACGTAATCGAGAGTTAAATTTCAAATCTCAAAATCAGAGACAAATTCAATGATAATAAAGCGAAGAAATGTGATTGAGAAAGCGAGCACTGCCGACTCTTCCAGTTCCTGTAATCGTGATTGTGGATGTTGTTGTTGTTGTTGGTGTTGTTATTGTTGTGTGTTGTGTTCGCCCGACCTCAGCAGAGTATCACACAGAGAGGGAGAGGGAGAGAGAGAGAAAAGAGAGAGTGTGTCGCCGTATCACTTTTTTAGTGCTCGTCTCCCGATTGAGCTCATTGCCGGGCACTCAGCGTAATTAATTCAACTCTATATCGTCGTCATTTTCTGTCTGGCTATCGCCTGTACAACCTTAATATGCCGTGTCTTGACTTGCGTGCATAATAGTAATATACGGTGGGCACCAAGCATGCACTCTTTTCAATGGCGAGTAGTACTCAATGTCAAACCAGCTATCTAATACACAGTTCGTGGTAGTCAAATAATGTAACCTCAACGGCCATCGAATTATCACCCCACCCCTTCACCCCTTGCCCCGCCGCTCCATCTCCCCCCCCCGGACGCGAGATGTCGGCTAGCGTCGAGCGACCTGCCGTGGCCTCTGCGGGTGGCTCCCCGGTTCTGACCGCTCTGCGGTCGGAGGCTCCGACCCGACCTAAACCCCCAGCGGCACCTCCTGAAAAGGAAAACGCCAAGGATTCAAATGGGTAAGTATTTATGATAGTCGGCATAAACACTGTACTAGCCAACCTTTAGACCTTATTAGCTATTGAAACTTAGCATGTACATATATGTCCTATATCCGTTATACTTCCGTCTACAAAGCGACCTCATGAGAGGGTATTGTAGTCGAGGTAAGTGATTCTGTGCTTTACGCGCGCGGATGTGGATTACGCGCCGTTATCGTCGAGGTTGTTTGCCTCACAGAACCTAGGTTGAAATCGATTGCTAGATTATCTGCGATGCGTAAGTATATGTTTATTAATTAAAAAGAAAGGACTCCCACGACAACAGCGGGTTGTATAGCAGGCTGGTCGATCAATGGCTTTAGAGTTTGGGTGTTCAGTTTTCTGCATACAACAAAACCGCATTAAGTTTCACTTCGATTTGAAAGCTCTTTTGAGTGTCATAGTTGTGCTTGCGTTTCTTTCAAAGGAGTATAATCTCTCCTACATCCTCAGGCGCTGTATACGCGACGTTTTAAGTGCACGCAGTATGTGAGGTCCTACTGGTAATAGTTTATTAAGTAATATAAGTGCATGTATTTATTTGGCACCTGTAACTATAATAGTTTATTAAGTAATATAAGTGCATGTATTTATTTGGCATCTATAAATATACTGTACAATTGCGTGCACATAAAAACTGTCTGTAAATAAAAGCGTAAAGGATATGTATTCTACTGTATACGGCCTTAACTTGGTTGATGCTTTCGATTGGCCCTTCCAAAAAAGCCAAACCGCTTTTACAGTTCGTCATGGAATTCTGTTATTCAAATGGATAGATATATGAGCTGATTTTGGGCCTATGAACAAATTCCGGTCGTTCTGAATTAGTACTGCAGGTACCTACAAACATGGCTTCCCGTATTTGTGTCCATTGTATCGTACAGCTGTTATAGTGGTCGATAACTTATTGTGAGTATACTTGTTATTGCGCTATTTGTTATGTAGTAGACTTTTAGTTCTTATTTTAAACTGGCGTGCCACATGGCAACAAACGCGAGGCCAAAAGGCGGCGGCTGGCGCCAAAATTGTAGACATTACTGTAACGTTGTCACCAATCATCACCGATACCGTCACTGCCATTAACCCGGGTCTCAGCGGCTGCGTTTTGCCATTGCCCGCGAACTCTTCACAATTTGTGATGCGCATCCACTATCACCTCCGCTGACGCCGCCGCTATCGCCGAATTACCGGCAAACTTATAGCCCACATGTCTGTGACTCTCCTTGTTGTTTCTGTTTTTGTCATCGTCGTCGTTGTAGAATGCTACTCAGTACGTGGGTAAAGTCATGAAGATGAAAACTGTGACGACGATAGTGATTATGATGATGTTGGTGAAGGCGAACAGTGAGTCCAGCAGTAGCAGCCATTGGATGTTTGTCCGTCGTTGCCCCACCACGTCTTCTTCTTTCTAGCGTTTGCCCTCTGTCCGGCATCACTGGGGCTATTGCACCAGCCACCGGTGAGCGTCGAGCACCGAATGCCAAACGCTGGCGGCCATCGGGCCATAACGTGATGAGATGCTGCTGCCACTCGACCCTTGGGCACGCTGTTGCTCGCTTTCTGTTCTGTGGCTGTTGTTGTCTTTGATGCTGTCGTTATGACCGGTGCCGGCGCGGGCTGCGGTAGGTTATTGTTCTTCGGCAATAGCTAAACGAGAAAACAGATAACAGAGTACCATGGAGAAAGGACAGCAGGACACAACAGAAGAACTTACCAGAAAAAAAGGAGAGAACGAGAAGAATGAAGGAACAAGGAAGAGACAGATGAAGCCGAAAAATGCTTCGCTCCTTCACGGACGAGCGAGCTTGTGCGCATTACCGCCGCTCCGGGGCCGTCATCGCTTTCGACGCCATCACTATGAGACGACACGGGGCGCTGACGCCGGCAACAGCTTGTTGCTTCGCCTCTGCCGACATCCGACCTCTGGCAACAGGAACGACGGCTCTGCTAACATCAACAACAACCGCAGAGCATGTGGCAATAGCTGCTACACAACTTTCCATAGACTATTGAGCAGTTGTCGCTTCTCGGGCGCGCGTCCGGTGCCGACGCTGTTCATTACCCCGCTCACTTTTGTTACTTAGTAATAATAATGCCGGCGACGATTCTGGCAATGATGATTATGATAATATGAAAACAAATTCTACTTCATCTGCCGCAGTAATAAGATTAAAAGTGAACGTGAGCTTTGTTATTCAGCGTGATAACGCGAACCCCAATAACTGTATTTATTTTACGGTACTGTGTTTACTTGTATGTGTTGTGGCGATCGGGTATTTGGTTTGACGCTACTATTGTCATGATGATCGAGTGGTTGGCTGTCCTATAATATTTGTAACCCATCAACTACATCTAGAAAAATGTCTTATTTTCATTCGCTGCGCTCGCGCGCAGTTCATGTTGACTTTGTCAGTGAATCAGCTAGTAAATGGCGATTAGCATTTGGATGTTGAGAATACGACTACATTGGCAGTAGGAGTACCTACCAAAGCAGAGGTCAATTTTTGGGTAGCAACTGCGTTGATGTGCGCCTTTCGTTAATGATAACACTGCCAGAAACATCTGCACATGACAACGGCTGAGAGTGGCATAAGAAAACCTATAATATGTTAGCATATTCGGTACATATAATGACAACATACGCAACGCATCGCTGTTAGATCCCTTACGTTTTCAGCTGAACGTTTACTTCATTGTCAGAATAAACGAGGCTAATCGGTCGTTGAAGTAAGTACCAATGCAGAATCAAATCTAGACAGCAAATCACTATATCTGATTAGTTTTGTGGCACGCTGAGCTTGTCTTTTTCTGTTCGTACGTAGTGACATTGAAAACATAGAATAGCCTTGGCAGTGAAATAATATGGCATTCGAACTTGTACTGTATCGTAACTTTGTTCCGCGAAGCGAATTCATTTTCTTTAGACAGTGCATGTGTGTATATATTTGAAGCAGCGGCCCTTAATCTCTTTCAAATAGACGCCTGGTCGACGAACGTCGACACACCTACTCAATCACAGGTTACACATTGCTGCCCTGGTCGAAACAAAATGGAATTATTGGCTGTGAATGTAAACTGTGCCAGAATCTCACCTATATCAGATAGGAGAACGCGTACGTAATGGCTCTATAGCTGAACGTTAAAACTTACTATCGTATCACATATAAAGATAATCCAGTTCAAGTTTATAAAGGTTAGTAAAATATAATAAATAATCAAGCAAATGGAATAGATGTACGGTTTGGTTCGGCAGAAATTTTTAACACTATTTCATTTTTCTCCGGTAGACGTTTTGAGTTCTATGATTAGGAGAACATGTCAAAACCGAAACAAGTTTTTTGTTGATCTGCCTTGCGTATAACTTATCCCAGTCATCGCTCTGCAATGTCGTATAACATAGTCGAACGAAAATTATTACTGTTTTAGCCCATCGCATGGGTAATAGGAATTGTCCACCTATCTTGTTTACAATTCAATGTGCGGTGCCATCGGTTACATTGACGTGCGCCCCATTTACTTGAACAGCCTTTAGCAGTTAATGTTGACGATAAAGAAACTTCAAAATGACGAACCACTATTGTTCACGAAAGTAATTAACCGGGTGTTTTTACTATTGTTCGTGTTTTTTCTTAGTTTTTCAACGATCAGTTCGTCAAGTATCAGCGCCGTGAGCGATGATGCCGCGCGGCAAGCTGGCAAAGAGTACCGTAAGTGGCAACATAATGAACATGAGCGTCGGCGAAAGGATAAGGTGAGTTTGTTTCAATGAAATAATCATAATTAGCAAAGCCAACAAATGTCCTTATTAACTTAATAGACATTTTTTTCTTTAATGAAGATTAGGGATCATATAGTGACGCCGCATTCGTTCTTGATATGTCTAATCGATTTTGGTTCTTTTGTACCGATATAGATCTCAGCAGGAATTCTACGCTTGGGAGAACTTCTACCGGATAGGGACCCGCGCAAAATGGCAAAGGTGGACATTCTCAGCCGCGCGTGCGAATATATCACCTACCTTCGCGACCTCAACGAAAAAATTGTATCGAATAAGATTCCGGAAGCGCAAGGTTTGTCTAATGCACACTTAAATTTCAACTTTTTGCGCAGTGGTAGCTTGCTCTGTTAGCAGAAACGGAATGTATAGATTATATAATGTGTAAATGAAACATCTCATGTACATATACTGGTACACTGGACGAATTAAAAAGTGTGGAACAGCAAAAATACACGTTGTTTACAATTATGGGGTGGTAAATTAAGATCTGTAAAAATTATTGACAAAATCAGTAATCTAACAACCATTTCCTGCCAGCATGATACTAATCAGCGAACTTTCTGTATACATGTCGAACACGTTATTGTTAATCACTTACTTAAAGCACTAGACTCCTTAATATGTCAGATTCAAACATAAGATGGCTGAACGATTTCGTTGAACAGTAAACTTGAACCAGTGATTACCTGTAACAGTCCTGTGTTATTATCTAATAGCAATTTACGTTCGTTTGTAAACCGTAAAATTAAATTGCAGCGACTTTACTGACTGATTTACGGAAACAGATCCGTGAATTGGAGAAAGTAAATTCGAATTACATGCGTCTCTTGCAAAAGCTGGGTATTTCTCTTTGCTCCGAGCCGATTGGTCTAGTTAAAGGGAACCCTGACCGAACCCCTGCCGAACGAGAGGCTGAGAAAAACACGGCTGCACAAATTGCCAGCAAAGTGACCGCATTGGCTAAGGTTAGTTCCCATTTTCTTTAAAATCAAACGATTCATTCATTCGCTTTAACCAACTGATTTGGTCACTGTGTTTCGGGTGGTTTTTTTCATTTACGAAGACAGCAGTTATGCTTATAAATCGCTTATAAAAATAAACTTATGAATAGATCATTTTTCCATCTACGGATGCCCCTTGATAAATGCTCGACTATTTACAGGAGGGAACCGTGACTACAGTCACATCTGCGGCGGTATCTTCAACCACAGCTATTCCCGTGCCTCCGAAAAGTGACAGCCAGGCACCGCAGCTAACGACATCATTAGGAAATTTGACTGGTGCATCTGTGAGTCAATTACAACCCTTAAATGGAGTAAATCAACTATTGCCTTCGTCAATAGTACAGTTAAATCCGGGTGGGCCACCTATTCTCATGACCAATGATCCACCACCGGCTACAATGTCCACGATGTTGATCCCCCAAAGTTCTCTCATCATACCGCAGACGTTAAATGGAGCTCCAACCCAACAACTCATTCTTAACGGGCCAGGTATGACTGCTAGCTATCCAATTGCTTTTGCTGCCAGTTTTTCTTTTTAAGTTAAATCATCATTATGTAATTACTATAGTCCAACCTTGTTCAGTACTGCGTAACAATAATTGATCTATCGCAAATGTTTTGTGAATTTTTTTAGGAGGGCCCCGCATTGTGAACACCGTTTCAGGTACGACTGGAGTGTCGGGAGACCTGCTGCTCAGTGGGGCTCAAGAATTACTGATGCAAGCGGCAGCCGATCCAAAGGCGATTACTCTTGGCGCTAACGGAACCACTGTTGTTAACGGTGTAGGCGGCGTCGGCGGACAGATTCTGCAATTAGGTAATGGAGGCACGATATTGCTGCCTTCCGCCAACGGCAGTTTACTTCCGATTGTTTCGCATGCCACCAATCCTACACTGTCCATTGTTAGCACTGTTGCCCCGACAACTGGTATACTTCAGCCGGCCTCTGCCCCAAAGAAAGCCATTGTTAGTTTGCCTACGAGCGCAGCACCTAAGCCTGTTGTCCTGTCGACTTTAGTTTTGGACGCGGACACAGCTATGCAAACTACTAACCCTGCGATTATCGCTACGGAGAACAGCAGCAATAAGGAACGCGACAAGGGTATTAAAAGACCTGCGAGCACGCCCAGTGGAATTCTGGCGGTCTCGGAGAAAAAACCCAAATCAGACCTCAACGAAGGGTCATCGGAGGAGCTAACGAAAGACGGCAAGGAGACACAGGGCGAGCTGGAGCGTTCCTCCAATCCTGATCTGTTGGCGCAGGCAACTGAAAGTATCTTTAGTTCGCAGGTACCCGACCCTCCAATAACTCCTATCCCGCCGTCTCCATCGCCACCTACACCCGTCACTGTGCTCACGCCCCCGATGTCTGTTGCCGCTCCCAGTGTTCGAGCAGCAGCAGCGCGAAATTCGCCATCTCGTGCAATGCATTCGCAAACCCCTCAAACGCACACGTTGACCTTGCAAGGACACACGACCACGACGACGACGACCACAACGTGTGCTGTTAGCAGCCTTCCGGTTACCGCGCAGCAGCAGAAGCCTCAGTCAGTTCCTGCTCAATCAGCTCAAAGTCAACCATCACAGGTTTTGCCTATGCAAAGTGTAGGCTTGACGGCGTCTGTCCCGCCAACGACAATCCAACCGAGTACAGCAGTTCAGCAAACACAACAACGACAACCACAATCGGTGTCTCAGGTACAATTGGCGCCCCAGCAACAGGTAACGTCTCAGCAACAGTTAGTGTCTCAGCAGCAACAACAGCATCATTCGTTAGCTGTGGCCACGTCTGTAGATTCTTCTATGGCTTCCCTACACAACTCGACCCCCGCAGTGACGATAGATCAACCATCGACAGTGTCACCTCGAACACCGGTGCATATCGTGTCTCAGACAGCTGAGCAACAAAAAAGAACTTTAATGACGTCTAGCAATTTGCCTACAGTGGCAGTAACAATGGCAATACCAGGGCCCACACGACAGCCAATGAAAGCTAAACCATCTGTTGCTCCCACGATTACAACTGCTCTTCCGACAAAAAGCCAGGATCAGGAAGCCTCGAAGTCTCAAGCAAAATCCCCACTACTTCCGATCGTGGCTCCCGTGTCAGAGAGCAAGGGCTCGACAGCCTCAGCTGCAGTTACTGCTACTACCGCATCTACGGTCACTTCCACTGTCGTATCGAAGGCAAGTGGGATGACTGCGGCTACGAACGGGGATCAAAAAGTGTTGGTTGTGCAGGCCGTGGCTGGCAGCTCGGCGACGGCGGCTCAGCGAATCCAGCGGCTTCCGTCGGCGCCGGCGGCTCTCTCCGGTGCGCCAACTTCGCATACGACGCTTACGGCGTCTACCCCGGCCGTAACCCAGATGTCCCCTCAGCCAGCAGCAGCAGCAGCAACGTCCGGTAGCAGGCGTGCTGCAGCGACGCCACCAGCCCCAGGTCCTTCTCTAGTCTCTTCGAAAAGCTCGTCGACAAGAACGTCGACTAACAGTAATAACAGCGGATTGTCGTCAACTCCGACATCAATTTCTACTCCAGGGTCATTGGCCTTGATAGTGACAACGGCGAACGAAAAACGTCATTCGCCTTCTGCCGTTTCATCCGTTCCCAAAGTATCAACGACTCCTACGTCATTAGTGACGGCTACTAATATCGCTGTTAAAAAAGATGATGAGAGCAACAACAATAATAACAACAACAACAACAGCAGCAGCAGCAGCAGCAGCAGCAGCAGCAGTAGTAAGAAGAAGCCCCAAAACCAGTCTGGCACGAACCATGGACGGCAAAGCCAGCCCCCGCGGACCGTAGCCCAAGTACTGAAGGCTGAGGCTGCTGCGAAAGCGGCATCGTCTCAGTCGACAACGGCGACAGTTCCTGAATCGGCCATATCTCATAATATAGTCCCTTCGTCATCTCCACTGCCGCCGACGTCACAGACATTGCATACGCCCGCTGCGACACTAAGCAACAGCCTGAGCGTTCCTCTGATCTCTGGCCCAAACAGTGGCTACGCGTCCTCCGCGGATCCTATGCCTCCATTCACGTCTCTATCCTCGGTAAAGTATCGGGGTCTACCCAGTATGCCGATAACCAGTATGTCCTCGATGCAGCCGCAGCCCATGTCCCATGGAGCGGATAACTGCAACTTCCCCCGTCTACCGTTGCCGCCGATGAATATTAATTACCGGCAGGGGGTCAACCATTTAGCGAACATTCTTCCTCCACACTCAATGCAGACCGCTGTGCAGCCCCCACCCCCGCCCGCCCAAGCGCCGCTTCCAGTTCTCAAGAATCAGGACCTGTCTGCAGTTAAAGGACCTTCTAGGCAGGCATCGAAATCAAGCACATCAACGTCTTCGTCGAGCTCTTCATCATTATCGTGTTCGACATCGACTACTCCTGTTTCTATAGCTCTCGGCCATAAAAGGTCTAGTACGGAGCAAAATCTACCCAAAGGACCCTCTCCTGCGCTCAGCCCCCGTCGAGACCTTATGTCACCGTTGCAACAGCCTCGGCAAAGTCCTGACAGCGTTATTCATAATAGCAATAGCAGTAGCAACAACAACAATCGAATGGGCTCGGTTGTCAGTCGATCGCCTTCGATGGAACCACCACTTAATGCTCCTCAACTGCATCATCACAATGAGCAACAACAGCAAAACACCCAGAATCAACAGCAACAACAACAACAACAGCAACAACAACAACAGCAGCAGCAGCAGCAGCAGCAACAACAACAGCAACAACAACAACAACAGCAGCTATGCAACTACTCAGCGGAGAGCCTCATCGGACCACCAATAGTTCAGTTCCCTAGCTTACGGAGCACGAGTCATCTAAACTCCTCATATTCTGCCGAAAGCCTTCTGCAGTCTGACTCGGCAGACGTAGGCGTATCCCTATCGTCAGCAGGCTCGCCAACTTATATTAGCGGTAAAAATCATTCCACGGGATGTTCGAGTGGAAAGCCAATCGTCTCGACTCAGTCTGTTTCTATGAACAGTTATAGCTACGGGTCTGTATCGCCAGCAAACGAGCGTAACACAAAATATCAGAGTGGTCACGGTCAACAGCAATCGAGCACGACAACGACGTACGCTCCGTACAATCTGGATAGCTTCAATTCAACAAGCGGAAGCAGCTCTAACTCATCGAATAACTACTGTTCGTCGATCCAGCAAAACAACAGTAACTCGTTTGGTGGAAGCATGAACACTACTTGTGACTATTTCACGCCACGGAACAATACAACGCCCGACTATGGACTAAATACAGGCAGTAATGGATTGGGCCAGTCAACTGGTACGGTTATGAATGGTGGACATTACCATACGCCACACGGACACAACCATGGCTTCCATCCGCAACCGCCGGTAAGTTTAGGCAATCCTGGTGATTTTGCACCGCCTCCCATACCGTCCGTGAATTCGCTCAATCTCCACGAGGCGGCCACTGGTCATCTGATGAATAATTTCGTTCCGCCGCCGGTCACGCCCGTCCCTCCATCATTCTTAGCACCCCCAAGTGCTGATAAAAGTTCGAAACAGAGCTCGTCAACCATTTTCGGTATACATCCACCACCCCCGCCGTCATCTTCAGTGTCGAAGTGCCCTCCGCTGACGTCCAGTTACGCTCCGGTCCCGCCAGTTCCCGGCGGTTGCGACAATTCGGGTAGCGATAGTGGTCGAAGTAGCAAGACTTCATCGGGCGGCTCGTCAAAGGCCGCGCATAAGACGAGGTCTAGCCAATCACTTGATAGCTACCCTATGCCGACATTGGACAGATCTTCGACGGGCTCCACGGGACTGGGCTATTTTGATTTTAATATGGCGCCCTCGAGCGGCACGTTCAATAACTGTGGTCCAACACCGTCCGTCGTTGGTGCGACTGGTCAAAAAACTAGTACAACAAGTCAAAACCATCGGGTGTGGCCTCCAGTCACACCCACGCCGCCATCGAGCGATGCCAGCTGTTCATCATACCTCTTCCCTGGACATGGACCGACAGTGACAAGAGCCACAACATCCAGTCATGGATACCACAACCCCATGTCAAATATTGGATCCAATGCCGTTGGTCAAAGTACGACGAATTTCAATCTCAGCAACATCTTCCCAGATATCGGTAACTGCGGTCAACTGCCAGGTGCAAGCTCGGTGGGTCCAGCTGGTGTAGGAAGCGGCCAAGATTCGCTGTACGGGGCACGACCTCCTCACGTAGGAGTTCTGCCAAACGCATTCAATGGTATATTGCCTCCACCTAGACATTCAGGATCCACGTCAAGGAGCTCCGGGTTTGGACTCTTTGATTGAGGGATTTTGTTACTTTAATAAGAGCGGCCGGAGTAACTAGTTTTACTTCCACTTAATGTCTTTGCTCTCCGATATTTTATTTAGTGGGAGTTTCCTTGCAGTAAACATTCTAACTTACTCCACAGTATCGCAACGGATGAGCTACTTTTGCACTTGTATTGATATTCAACAGCAAAAGTGTATGGGTGGGTTAACTAAGCAGAGTTTTTCCACGCCAAGTTGCCATGAACGATCGGTTAACTGCACGACCGACTATAATTACTGTATAGAATTTGACTGCGAGTTTGGAGATCG